GAGGGCAGGAAGATTCGGGAGCCCACCGTAGAGTTTCAACGGCCAGCAAGGCTACAAGGAATGGTTGCCGAACTTCGAAGGAAACACGCAGAGCCTCGTCTACCACCAGCTGAGCTTCGAGAGCCTTCAACTGAGCCGCGTGGACCACAGGATGTGATACGAGGGCCGCGCGCATAGCTACGATAACTACCAGCTGAACCACCATGGCCACCCCCCGAGCCACGACAACCACCTGCTGAGCTACGAGGACCACTTGTTGAGCTTCGAGGACCAGCTGAGCTACGAGGACCACTTGCAGAGCTACAAAGGCCACCCGCTGGTCTACCAACACCAGCTCATCTACCATAACCACCAGTGGGACTACGAGGGCCACAAGCTGAGCTTCGAGGTCCGCAAGCGTGGCTACGAGGACCGCCAGTTTATCTGAGAGGGCCACCAGCGGAGCTATGGACGCCACGAGCTGAATTACACGGACTACGAGATGAGGATCAATGGCTGGCCTCCAGCAGAGTTGCCAGTGCCACCAGCTGAATGACCAGGTCCACGAGCTGAGCTTCGAGAGTTCCCGACACAGCTGCGAGAGCCACGTGCTGAACCACGGGGCATCAGGTGGCGAGGCCCGCGTTCAGCACTCCAAGAGCCATCAGCTGAGATAGGGGGATCATGCGCTGAGCTACGATGGCCGCGCGCAGAGCTACGACAGCCACCAGTCGAGGGACCCGGGCCACTTGCCGAGCGACGAGGGCCACCAGCTCAGCTACGAGGACCAGCTGCGGAGGTACTGAGGCCACAAGCACAGCCGCGGGAGCCACCAGCAGATCGACACCAGCGTGTTCCTGAAGCGCCCCTCAAGATTACGCTAACCTCGCTTTTCTTGTTCCCGTTTTGATGATAGCGGTTCGAGGCCGGCAAGCCGACCTACGAGGGCCACGGGCCGGGCTACGAGGACCACCCGCGAGACTACGAGGGCCAACAGCAAGGCGAATTAGGCCACACGTTGAGTTATGCGGGGCACGAATTGAGCAGCAAGGGCTTCCAGCAGAGCTGCCAGCGCCATCAGCTGGGCTCCACGGTCCACGAACTCAGCCTCAAAGGCCGCCGAGACATCCAGGATGAGCACCAGCCGAACCACGGGGGCAACAAGCCGATCTACGAGGCCTTCGAGCATGACTCCGAGATCCACTGGCTGAGCTACGAGGGTCACGATCGAAGGACGACGACAGCAAAAAACAAAACGAGCCCATCTTCTTCATGTACACCGTGCTCGAGGGGTTTTACTTGCTCAGGGCCATGGTCGCCGACGGGGAGGCGGTCACAGAGCCCTGATCGATAGATGGGGGCTCTGTTCAAATTCGCGAACCCAGCGAAAAATAACACGCACGACGCGGTGATCCTCATAGACAGTAGCGCTGGTCGCCACTACGAGGACGATGACGCGAAGGTCCGCAAGCTTGGCCCCTCTGGAGCCATCAGCGCGCCCATGTTTGCCCGCGACCATTACGAGGCGCACAAAAAAAACACATGCCTATAAGCAGGCCAGCAGCCCATGTTTAACTCATCAGAAGAACAGCTAAATAAACACATGTCGAACGTTAGCACCATGTTCTGGCAAGCGACGGCTCCAGAGAGTCATGCGCTGCTGAGACCGACAAGTGGTATTCGAGTCGGGCTCCGATACTGTATACAACAAGGCGGCGTCACATAACACGAGGCGAAATGGCCTGCATGAGACCAGAGAAGTTGTCGAACGACTGTTGCGTTACGGACAAGGATAGTCATGTACACTGTCACACAATAGATTCCTGTTTGCCCATGTAGCGCTATAGGCACCATCGTAGACTTCATGTGCATTCCGTGTATTGCGGTATTGGCACAGTGCGTCTACGGCATTTGCCGCCCCTGAGTTTGACTGGCCTCTCCGTTATACCCACCTCCCCTCTTCCCTTTGCCGAGGCCGCGAGGGGTATACTTCAGGCTGGGAAAGGTTTCCTCCTTACGCCGCCACATGGTCCAAAGCCGCATAACACGAGGATTTGTGTGAGCGACGGTCCCACCTCATCCCCAGGCCGAACGCTATTCTTTTGGATTACAATATGAGAACACCGATGGATTCAATTGGATCCCATGTTCGGGTGTGCGACAGTATGGCGGAACCTATTGTTGTCTTGCGCGGATCCAATTTACCGTTTGCGAAAAACCGGCGGATCAATTTGTTTTCCGGGAATGCTGATACAAAAACGTAACATCCCAGAGCCAGGGAAGATGGGATCCGCGGGGCACCGCACGCGAAACATCATGCAATCCTTGGAATTGTGGACATGATGACCAGAGCTATGATTCTACGGGGAAAGGGGGGGTCTACCCGGGACGGAGGGAGGAGGCACGAGGAGGGCGTTTGGACCACGTGTCCTGCGAGGCGGACGGCGTCGGGTACGGAAGGTATCGTTTGTCATTCGGTTGTTTTTGGGTGTTGTTATGCCGTAGTTTGCACGCACGAGATGGGCACGGAAAGAATGGGTACAATGCCCAACGGCAGTTCCTGTTCATTTTGAACAGAACTCGCTGTCCGCTCCGCCGCGGCCTGTGCCCATCTGAGACAGGAGGCCGCCTGCCCAACAGTGGCCGCTGTTGGTTTGGGGCAACATTTGCTGTTGGGCATTGTGCCCATTCTTTCCGTGCCCATTTCGGGCGCCCACGCGTAAGGAAAAATGCTTCCGAGTCAGTACAGTGTGTGGGCGGCCGTCACCCCCTCCGCCCCCCTCCGGGGAGGGCGGGCGCGCCCTGGCCCCGGCCGCGTTCGCGCGCGCCGGGCGCGGGGCGCGCCCTGTGGGTGACGCGCCAGCATTTGCCAGAGAGAGAGAGAGAGAGAAAGGAGGCAGCAGAGGTAGGGAGGAGGAGGGAGAAGGGAGGAAGGGATGGAGGAGGGAGGATGTTGGAGGGAGGGAAGGATCACAATTTGGAGGGACGTGGGCCGCCCAACGCTGCCTGCCCACGTGAGGTGGACGGCGTGAAGGCCTCAGGCACGATGCAGACGATGCTGCTGGAGCTGATAGAACAGGCGGAGGCGGACGCCCAGGTGGGGGCGCTCCAAGGGGATAGACCCCGTCCCCGATGGAGGAACGAGGAAGAGGCGAAGGTGAAGGAAAGGAAGAGAATGGCCAAGACATTCAGCGGTCCGAAGAGGTCGATGCTTCAAATTCGGCGTCTGATTGTTTCTTCGGTATCCAAGGTCGTCAGAGAACTGCTCAGGATGACGAGCTGGCTTCGGAGAGAAGCCCGAGAGGCCCTGGGGTCGTTTCGGGGAAGGGACCGAGAGGGTCTGGGGTCGATTTCGCGAGACAATCGAGCCACTGGATGCTTGATTGTGATGGTTGTGATGGTAATGCTGATGGTGATGATGGCGCTGATGATGATTGGTGCTGTTGATGATTTTGTTAGGGGGTTGCTGGTGGTGGCGATGTCTGCGCGTATGCGAATGATGCGGACATTGATGGTGATGGGTGTCTCGATGATTTGATACTTGTGATGCGGATGACGATGATGGACGATGATGACGGTGATTGCGATGATGATGGCGATGTTGTTGACGGTGAAGGACGTTAATGTTTGATGATGATGGTTATTATGATGATGATGATGCTGTTGATGAGGGTGATGATATTGATGAAGATGTTGATGATGGTGATGGTGATGGTGATGATGCTGCTGTTGATGATGACGATCATGATCATGATCATGATCATGATGACGGTGGTGGTGATGATGAAGATGATGGTTGTGGCGTTGGCGTTGGCCATGGTGAAGGTCAGGGCGGTGATTTTTCTGATTGTGATGGCGATTGTGCAAGTTCTTACGTCTGTGCTTCTGCTGCTGATTATCATGCCGTCTGATGTGGGGTTGTGTTCTTCCTTCTGGAGGGGCTCCTCTGGGGGGGGGGGGGGGGCGTCCTCGCTGAAGCTGAATCTGGTTCGACATGTTTGGTTGGGACGCGCTCCAATACGTTAGAGGGGAGGGGCGATTTTGAGCCCTGCCCCATTCCTCCGTCACGAGGCCTGGAGCATTGAGGCACTCCGGCACCGCAACTCCGCGTGGTGTATCCAGCACGTGTGGATGACGTCGCGTCGCGTGCTTCGGCGTTTTGCGCCGCTCGTGTGCGCTGCTGGGCCTGCTTTCCACCACCACCACCATAAGTTGGAGGGGGGGGGAGGAGGAGGAGGAGGAGGGAGGAGGAGGAGGAGGAGGAGGAGGAGGAGGAGGAGGAGGAGGAGGAGCAGGTGGAGCAGGAGGAAGAGGAGGACGAGGAGGATCCCTCCCACTTCAACTTCTGGTGGTGGTGGTGTAAAGCAGGCCCACCATGCGCGAAGCCGGCGCTGGCCCTGTGCCCTCGCGACGGGGCATTGGATGCGGCCGCCGCTTCCGGCCGGCGCCAGCGCCGGCGCCGACCAGCGAATCGGGGGCCCCAAAACGGGGTGGTGACCACACCGTGCGGTGAGTCGGTGGGGATTCTGGGTCACCGCACGGTTTCGGGACTCGGGTCGTTCTCCGATGATGTCTCGGGCGATTGGGGCTTCCGAGGTCCCAAAACCGTGGGTTGACGGACCGTGCGGTGAGATCTTGGGGAATTTCGAGGTCACCGCACGCTCTGTCACCGCACCATTCCGGGACTCCAAAGCGAAGGCAGACGCCCCGGCGCACGGTGCCCTTTGCGAGCTTTTGTCGAGCCAGCCAACACCCATCCAGTGTTAAATCGGGCCTGTCCCTCTACAGGGGGAAATATTCAAGAATCGTAAAAAAATAGTTTGGGGGCGATTTTTTGCTTAGTTCTGAGTCTGTTTGAGCATGTGTTGTCAATTTTTGGTTTTCGGCCAACGTCGGCCTGTAGGGGACCATGCCCGACCTGAATCTAGTGGGCCATGGCCCCTTCACCCCAGATCGGGACATCTCCCGCAGAATCCGGAGGAGCACCCGACAGGTGGCTGCGGCGGCCAGGTGGGGCCCAAAACACGGAAGCGGGGGGGAGGCAGGCGACACGGTGCCCTCACTCCGCGCCAGGGGCCGCTCTGGCCAAGGAGGCCCCGCGGCCCCGCGGCACCATCCCAGAGGTCAGGAGGGGGACAAGCACACAGACACAATCCATCGTCGTGCTCCCAGAAAATATGGGAAGATATGGGAAGTGGGGGGGAGGACAAAACCTTCCAAAACACAGGAACACATGGGGCATCCCGTTACTTGTGTGTATTTCTTTGCGTGTCCCTGGGCACCACTCAGCAGAGCCGACGGTGCGAATGGAGCGCGACGCCGCGAGGCACCACGACCTTCTCCTCTGCGGCACGTCCCGGAGCCCGATCGGCCCGTGAAGGCCCTGGGGCCGGGAAGAAGTGGCGAAGCGGTCCGGTGTGACGTCGGGCGTGTGCCTCTACATCAAGGGCATAAAAAAACGCCCCTACCCTGGTTTACGAGGCGCTGTGCGCTGAAACTCCTGTGGGCTGACAGGGTAAACCCTGCGTGATGCGCCGCGTCCTGGCGGCTCTAGGCTTTGGGGTTTCCCAGGAGGTGTACGGACCACGCACTTGTAACCCAGGATAGGGTCGTTTCTTGCATCCCTCAACTACAGGAGGGAGATTCTAAAACGAGTCAGAACATAGTCTGGGGAACATTTTTGTTTAAAAATAGTCAAGGATTAACCAACACGTAGTCAAACATCGTCACATTGTTTATAGAACTATTCAAAGATGAATCACAAAAATATCAAAACTTGGTCAACACATAGTCTGGAGACCATTTTTGCCAAACGATAAGTCAAGCATTAATCAAACATTCATCAAAAACTAGTCATTTCTTTAAATGAAGGATTCCAAACCTATTCCAAACATAATCAGCACATAGTCAGAACATAGTCTGGGGACCATTTTTTTTTTTCTTCAAAAAATGAGTCAATGAATTATCAAATATTAGTACAAACATAATTATATGTTTCATAAAAACATTCAAACATTAATCAACAATTAATCAAAACATAGTCAAACCATAGTCTGAGGACAAGTTTTTCAGTTGTGCGTATGGTTGAACACTTTTTGGAAACCTTTCATTCTTCATCCAAAATCCGCCTGTGGGGGGACACGCCCGCCCTAAGCCCAGCGTGACAAGAGAATGCGTTGCCCGGATCCCGGGGCCTTGATGGTTCGGTAGCACGCGAGCGACCGGCCCTCGTGGAGGCTCGCCAGCAGGCGCCCGCGCAGGCCGTTGCTGGCAACCGACAATTCGGCTCCACTCGCGCGGCTGAATCCCGCTTCCCGGCGGACTGGTGTCGGCGCGAGAGCGGTCTGCCAGTCGAGGGGGCCGAATTGCTCCGAACGTAACGCGGAACGACGTTCCAAAAATCGTAGACGGTTTCCCCGAACGCCGTTCCGTACACCCTTTCGACGTCCCACCTTCTGGATGGCCCAATTCGCCCTTGCTGAACCCTGGAACTGTGTAGAAGTCTTCCTGGCCAAGCCAGGAGGACGTGCCGTATACACCGCTATGGTTTTACGCTGATTTCGTTACACTACGATTCCGTTCCGATTCGGTTCGACTCGATTTCGGATTGCGGTTCGGATTCCGATTTCTCAAGGGAGGCCTCCTAGCCTGCCGATGTCCGCCAATTCGATTTCTCCCTACTCGGCTGCCGCTTTTTTTGTGCCGCCTACCCGCTTCCTTTCGATGGCTGATCCGACTGTTCGGTTCGAACGAGCGAACAGCACACTCCCACGCCCGTAGGGGTGTCGTTGGGAGGAGGACTGGCTAATTATGGGCACTGGGTGCGGGTTCTCGGACCAGGGGGGTCGCTCCCGTTCGGACGGAGACCCCCATGCGACAACACTTAGCCATGGCTCCTCTGATCCCACTATGGGTACAGTCGGGGCCCTGAAGAAGGAAACCTTTTCGTTGGGGAGGGGCTCCGCGTTCCTTGAGTGTTTCGCAGCTTGCCTCAGGTTTTCCTTAGGTTTTCGATATGGAATCGAAGTTCAACTTATGGAGAATAGGGGCCTCGTTCCCTATTTGGGGTTCCTTAGGTCAGCGCCCCGACTGTATCATAGGTTTTCGATACGGAATCGAAGTTTATCTTGTGAAGAATAGGGGCCCCGTTCCTCATTTGGGGCTCCTGAGGTCAGCGCCCCGACGGTATGGGCGTGTGCTGTTCGCTCGTCGGCCAGGGGCGCCCAAAAGCTGTGCCTCGGGCGGCCAGTCGGCTCACGCAGCTGATTTTCCCGGCTCCTCCCAGCGCCGGGAGGCGCCCATGTATCGAGGAATGGGCCTGGCGGCGGGGCCGAAACCAGCTGCATGCAGCAGATTTCCTAACCCACCCTTTCCCTATCCCCCCCTTTCCCTATACCCCCCCCGTCCATGCAAGTAAACTTGCCAGAGTCTAAAGAAAACAGGCTCTTGCAGGGCCGCCTGGCGGCGCGCCCGGCGGCGCGCCCCGGCGCGCCCAGCTCCTGCTCGCCGCGCGGCCGTGCTGCCGCGTTTTGCCAGGGGCGGCGGCCTGGGCTGCGCGCCCCCGGCCGCTGCTGCTGCCGCCTCCTGCCGCCTTTGAAAACGACGCGAAGATCGGTTGGGAACCCCCAAACCAGATGGTGAGATACCAGGTGGCGACCTGGAATCCCCAAAAAGGTCACCGCTGGGTTTGGGGACGCGGGGTCACCACCGGGTTTTGTGACTCCTGGACCCACCAACGTTCGGGACATCCTCGGAAAACCGCACGAGTCCCCAAACCGGGTGGTGACACCAAATCGCCCGAGACTCACCGCCAGGTGTTGTCACCACCACGTTTGGGGACTACCAAATCGGGACAAAATCGGATCGGGATAACTCGAAATCTCTGAGAATCGGCGGGTTTGGAGGATGTATTGGGCGCCGCGGCCGCTCCAGAGCGTTCCGGAACGCTCTGAGAGCGCTCCGGAACGCTCTGGAGCGATTTATCCCGATCCTAGCCCTGTTTTATTGTGGTGTGAGCGCGCTGGTCGTCGGAGCGGTGGTGTCTGACTCAGCGTACGTGGCCCTGCGGTGCTTCGATGTTGGGCGCGCTCGTCGAGC